TTCCTAGTAGCGATGCACTTGTTCCTAGTAGCTTCTTGTTACTACTACGACATGGTACGACTATTGTTATACCTGTTTTCCCACAGAGATCTTTATCAGCAGTGGACATATTGTAGGTATTTGCTCTCGGCATTGCATATGCCTGAAAGCTTTTGGTCCGCACATTCGGCACTGCTGCGGATGGCTATGCAAGAAAATATGGCTACACCTGCTTGTCAATTGCCCAGGCGAAGCGTCCCCAGCATCAGTGACGCCCTTGACGAGGTCCGAACACTTGGTTTGTTATTACATGAAACTGCGTCAACATGAGAACACATTCCTTAGATAGAGCTCCTGAGGGTGCCTGAGTGAGGGTGCGTGCTTTGGGGGACTCTTTAGGGTGGAAGCTTGGTGTGTTTTTTTCCGATGACTTTGACATTGTTGGTGGTCAGTGGTCAGGCTCCAGGGAAGGGTCGCATTGCCAAGGTATTCAGCCTTGTCATCCTTGTCGCCGGTGTCGCCTTTGACTCCGGCAGAAGGGCCAGCATCCAGTAGCAACTGAGCGGAGTGAGTTGTTTTGGACACTAGGTTTTTGTTGTTATACAATTGGGGCTTCGTTTGTCATCAAGCCTGGCACTGGCATGCATGTATTGTAAATAATGACACAGTAAACATTAACATCTATACTAATTATACCCGTGTTGCTTCAGATTAGTTGGCGGAAGTCAGACTGAGCTGCCACCCAGACCCCAAACTTACCTAACAAACTGGCTGCCAACCTACCTGCATACAGGCAGTAGACAGCCCTTCAAATCAGTCTTCTTTGAGGTGATTTGCCATTGGCCGCCGCTCTAGCGGGGAAGCTACCAGCTGCCGAGGCTAAAGGATGGGTGAAGCTATGCATGGAACTTCTGAAGCAACTAAACTGTAAAATCATCCATGCTACAAAATTTAGATTGATTGAAGACACAATGCAGTTCTCTTTTTTGGGGGGCTGAATTTGCAGTAGTGTACCGGCTTTGACGTTAAGCCAGCTCCGTTTTGTTCCAACATGTGTTACTTTGCCAAGTGGTATCGGATATGTATCGACTACCCATGACAACTTTGACACAACATATTAATATATATGATTTTTGTTGATATATTTAATATTTAGTAGTTTACATATATAGATACATTTATCTATTCAAGATCTTTTGATCCCAAGATTATATTGAATATGGTTTAGAGTGTAGCGACATGCTGTTGTTAGGTGCAGCGATTGATGCGGGATCAGCAGGGCTCCCGGCTGTTAGTGCAGCACCTGTCTGCCCAGTCGAAGGTGCGGTGTAGCACAACATCTGTGAACAGGCATTAGGATTATTCAAGCTGTGCAACATCCTTCCACTCCAGTTTTACGGCTCGGTTCAAAAACAGAAAAGAAAAGACAATGTCATCACATGTCATCACTTGGAATGTTTGCAAAGGCATGTTTATTTCTTCCAGCCTTGTGAAGAGATTGCAGGAGGCATTGCTGAACGCAGCACTGCCACGTCTCGTCCGCTTATCTTGTCGTTGCCTTTGCATCCGTGCTGCCACTTCCTGTTTTTTGGTGGATATGATATGCAGAATCATTATTACATTATTGAATTTGTCACGTGCCGAAGTGTATAATTTAAGCGATTTGGACCCAGGAAGTGCAGTGAACAGGTAGGTCGGCCAAGAATAAGAACATTGATTTGGAAGGATTGTGTTGTTGCTTGCTTTATGTACACAGAGTGTAACGTAGATACATATATATATATATTTAATGCATATATTTGCAGTCAGAGTGTTGCATCAGTCATCAGATTGGCATGTAGATGAGCATCCTGTGAGTGTGTGCCCTTTTTGGAAGCATTTCCAACAGAACAGTGACCCAGGTCACGAGCATGCCTCAGCCGTGCTGTTGGAGTTGTTGGAGGTGCCTCACTTCTTGCGGTTGGAGGACCCATCATGAAGAATGCAATGCAGTGTGCAGGGCTTGGAGTCTTAACTTTGCTCACGGGGAAGAAACCCATTGCCCAGCTTCACACTCAAGTTGTGGGTCAACTTGGCGAGTGACGTACAATTGCCGCGGTGGGCGTGCAAGCTCGTGCTTCACGAATATTAGGCTTCACTCACTTCTTTATGTCGGATCGCAGTTGGTATAAGAATTTCTGACAGCAGGGGAACACACCAGGGACATTTTGAACGCAAGACAAAGATGGATAAAGACTGAAGACGAAAGGCAAAACAGGAACAACAATGGCTTTGGATTGGGGTCGTAATTTTCATGGCATAGTTGATTTTGCTGGCCCAACATGGCCCAACCAGAACGTACCAGCCATTCGTACCCGATCGATTACAGACTTGCACGCTTAGACATCCCCCTCGACACTCGTGCACGTCCTACTGATTCAATACGTAGTCGCCACCACAGAATACCTCCCAGTTTGGCTTGGTTCCGACAGATATAGTTATACAATGTTATACAATTATACAACCGACCAGTTAAGAAAAGACACTTGAAACTGTCATGCGCTACATCCAAGATCTCCGTGATGAGCCTCAATACCGCAACCGTTTAAAAAATAAATGGATTTGGTAAATCTCTTACTCCAGTATGCTTTCGGCATACCCACACCACAGAGTTCACATTTTGACCGAAAGTAGCGAACCGACATGCACTCGTTGGCATGATTCAAGCCTGATCAAGCCTACATGCAGCAACGTGGTATGTCCTTGCCGGTTCATCCATACAATCCTGTTCCACTATGTTCCTCTCATTGCCAGTGACCCAATTCTCACACGACCTCCACAGCCAGACTTCCCATAAGATGAACCCCTTCAATAATATTGTAAGCAAATACGTGATGCCTTTAATGCAAAGCAATGCCTTGATGACACTGTGACATTAATTCCATTGCTAACATTCAATTAGTCATTATATACATAGATCCTAATTCGACATCGATCTAAAATAGGCGTGCTAACTAATTGGTGCGCCGTGTGTAGATGGCCGTATGGTTTTCTGGCCATTGCACGGGGAATTGACATGTATTTTTCGGATTTATGTTGGAAGTTCTATTGGCGGAAGCAAGTGCATGATCTGCTGAATGAATCATCTTGTTTTTTTGCTTTTTGGGGGGTCTCGAAAAACTAATTCGTTTCGGGATCTCCCAACGCCTTTTTCTTCTGAAGCGGATACATCAAAAGAGTGCGGACAGCATGTCCAGAATCTGTTTCTGAGTTTGCCCCTTGAGTACATGCTCCCGCCACACCCATTGGAAAACATACGTTTGTATGTTGGGGTGCAAGATGCTTCCTTCTTCGGAATTCTTCGATTACAAGAGCTAGGCACAAAACTTTTCAGCGAAAGCCACCAACGATCCATGCACTGAGTGCCACCCCAATTGCTTAAATTTGAGGAAGTCGTGGCCACTCGCTTGGAGAACTCGTGATTTTGATGAGAAACCTGTCTATACTGCAAGCCTAGACGAACAACCTTCTTTAGAAACATGTCATAACCTCCCCACCTCCTATTCAACACAATGCATCATACCAAGAAGGTTACAAAATGACAAAAAGTGGCCGAAGACGTACGATCATCTACGCCCGCCCAACCAACTACTGTAATTACATCTCTAATTGTAAGTTGCTTTTGGCGATTTTGGTTAGTTTTCTCGCTCTCCCGTGGGGTGGTTTCCGGTCGCGTTGCTTGTCATGTGAGGCACCTTTTTGAATAGTATAATATGTATGAACTACAATAACCTCGGCACCCAGTGAAGCTGAGGGGCCGTTGGGCACAGACATTCGCAAGTATTGTTGGGGAGTTGGGGACTACACCAGGGATCACACGGGGCAGGGCGGTGATGAGCGCTTGGGTGTCGAGTTGGCGAAGCAGTGCCAAAATGCTGTGCTGAAGCAACTTGGCAGCAGATCTACAGATCCATGTGGCATCATGTGGCCCATGTCCGTTCCAGAAAACATATTTTTAGGGCTTTCGAAAGATCCTGATCAGGACTTTGTTGAGGACTGTGCATAGCAGGCATTTTGCAGAGTCTAGAGGCCCCCTCAAGATGTTCCCAATAGGAATTTTGTCCATTCCTAGACTTGGAACAT